ATCCTCACCGTAGTATCAACCTACTGCACAAGATTAACTAGAATAAACAGAAGATGCTGAACCTGGGGATCTCCTTCTTGGCTTTGTGTTCATACATGGTGATAAAGGTCAGATATACTCAGGATTTTGAATTATGACACCCCTCTCAGGGTGGAGATAGAAATTTCACTAATAATGATTGAAAGTAATGATCTTCGGGGGCGCCCGGGTGTCTCAGCTGGTTAAGCATCTGACTTCGGCTCGGGCCATGATATCACAGCTTGTGAGTTTGAGCCCTGCATCAGGCTCTGTGCTGATAGCTCAGAGCTTGGAGCCTGTTTCAGATTCTTTGTCTCCCTCTCTCTCTGCCTCTCCCTTGCTTGCACTCTGTCTCTCCCTCTGTCAAAAATAAATTAAAACAACATACAAAAAAAAAGAGTAGCCATTTTCAGTAGTAACAGAAGGGACTGGCTGGTCTATACATATGTGGTTGTGATTTGGAATCCTGTGAAGGTAGCCAGAGTGCTTTCTTTGGGTGTGTTCACAGTGTAGGACCATGGCATCTGGTAGCTTAACCCACGCTGCCTGCATTTCATCATCCGAAGAACTGATGTGTTGATAGGATTGTGGCGGGCAGAGGGCTGAGAAGGGGGAGACAGGGCTGGTTGCAATGTGAGCATTTGGGGGTGTGGGCCGCATTAGACTGTGGCTGTGTGCAGAACCAACAGGTAAGATACTCTGACTAGTTCCCCTTGTTGTGATTTCATGTTTAAAAAATTTTTTTAAACATTTATTCATTTTTGAGAGACAGAGAGAGACAGAGCATGAGTGGGGAAGGGGCAGAGAGAGGGAGACACAGAATCCGAAGTAGGCTCCAGGCTCTGAGCTGTCAGCACAGAGCCCGATGTGGGGCTCGAACTCACAAACTGTGAGATCATGACCTGAGCCGAAGTCAGACGCTTAACGACGCTTAACCCAGGCGCCCCATGTGATTTCATGTTTGACAAGCACTTCCTGACTATAAAAAAGTTGCCCATTTAGGTTTTCAAACAGGAGAATCTGTACCAACAACCAATATTTGGCATGTCTAATTGTCTTGGCAGTTCTAGTTCTCAGTGTAAACTCATTAACTGCCTAGGTGAGGGGGAGAATGAAGTGACTTATTCTGTGCCAAGGAGAAGCAGAGTGAAAAACAGGCTTTAGAGGGCTTTGGAATCCCAGGCTTGTTCTATCATGGACCCATATGTACTCCCATTGGCCTCTAGAAGCCTGACAAAGCATAGATACATCTTACATCGTCTGGCTTCTTGGTGTGCACTTATGTAAGTATATGAGCTCGTGCATGTGTGCATGCTGGGAGAGAATCCCCCACCCCTTCTCTCCAGCAGTTGCCCCTTCTCTTCAGGTCTTTTGAAGCAGGCCTAGTCTCCATGGATGGAATACCGTGCAAAAAGTGGCCTATTAAGCCAAGGAGTGGGTCATAAGAGTCCAAAGCATTCTTCAAGCATCAATCACTGTGTTCACTTTACGCTGTGATCTAATTCCTGGAAGACCTGGCATCTTCTAGGGGGATTGATTGTAGATCCTAGTTATATTCTTTTATTTTTATTTATTTATATTTTTAAAGGTTTTTATTTATTTATTTAGAGAGAGCGCACGAGTTGGGGATAGGTCAGAAAGAGAGAGGGGGAGAGAGAATTTCAAGCAGGTTCTGTGCTGTCAGCACAGAGCCCTATGTGGGCTCAAACTCACAAACTGTGAGTTAGTGACTTGAGCCGAAATCAAGAGGTAGATGTTTAACTGAGTAAGCTACCTAGGCACCCCTAGTTATATTCTTTTAACACAATTACTTACTTATGAGGACAAAATCTATTTTCTTACTGGAACGAAAAGCTGTAAACCGAATAAAACCAAAGCCTCCATAGCCACTGCGATTTTAGATCCCACATCTACAGATTTTGGAGAGTTATTGAACCATAGGCTTTCTAGTTAGAAAGGACCTTTCTAGTTAAAAGGGACCCTTAAAAGGGGCGCTCTACTTCAAATGAGAACAAAAAGAAATACATTTATATCAAACCCAGTTTATACACACGTATATACAGACACACGTACACACACATGTAACTGAAATAAAAACTTAATGTAGTAACAGTTTGCTTACCACATGGCGTGTGTGCGGATGTTTTCTAATCTATTTTATGAAAAATATTCCTGGCCACTAACCCTCTAAATTGGTTTTACAATTGGTAATGGAGTATGTGTTTATGTGCCCGGGCGAGTATGCGTGTGTGTGACTTTGCTGCATTCAACCCTTATCCTCTGCTTGAGTCCCATCTCTTAATTGTTTTCTTCTCCAGGAGCAGTGACCTGATGGGAGTTATCTAGCTTATCTGTCACGGAACTGGGATGTTATGATGGCTCATGCGGGACAAACATTAAGGAAGGAAGGAGGGAAGGAAGGCTAGCATGAAAACAGAGAAATGGAGTCAGTGCCCGAGGGCAGAAACCGGTGTGGCCGGCAGTCACGCAGCCTCGGGCAGAGCGAGGAAGAATGTTTTCAGCATCCTCAGAGGTCTTCGATGCTGTCAGTTTTCTGCGTGTCTTTGAGCTCCAATTCTCTCACCCTGGGCACAGCAAGGCCCTCTGAGGGAAACTAATGCTGCTGCCTAAATGTTATGGCTGAAATCATGGTGCGTGTTCACCCCCAGGGTCATATTATTTCTGATTTAATCATAATAATAATAGAAATAGCAGTGATAATAAAAATAATAATAATCTCCATGATTTATTGGGTGATTAGTATGTACTGGCACGTGATGTACTTTATCTTAGTCAATTTTTGCTCAGATCCTCTTAAGTAGACCCTATTCACTCCATTTTACAAAGGAGGCGATGGACGCTTGCAGAGATTTGATGATTGGCCAATGTCACACCACTAGTACGCGGCAAAGCTAGGATTTGAACTTCCATCTGCACGATCCAGCGTGTCTGCTCAACCACAAGACGTTTGTTTTATGGAATTGGCCGGACGACTTTTAGATCTGAGGGAGTGCTTTCCCTAGGGAGTTGTAGCTCCCTCTCTTTTCAAAATTCCTGTGTTTTCTGAAACCGATTTATATTAGCTTGTTATTCCAGAGACCTGCAGAGAAGCCAGGCGAAAGATAGTAACCTTTCTCTTAAAAAATGTTTTTTGAAGATAATAGGGAAAGTACAACAATGTCTAAATTGAAAGCACTCAGATTTCTATTTGCATGCCACCTGGATACAAGCTAATGTTAATGGGCCCCAAATCCATGCATTGTAAGTGTGTTTGCACTTCTATTTTCAGAAGATACTATTTAAGAAAACTCTTAAGTAAATCAAAGTGTAAACAAAATCTAGCTTTCATATTGTAAAATGCAGAATGGGAAATAAAAACCTAATTGTGAAAGGCAGACATTTATTTACTTAGTACGACATTATAATCACTGTGATTTAGACCAGGGGCTTTACTTAAATGAGAACAAAACCTCGGGAATATAAGTCCAACTCTTTAATTTGCTAATTACATTTCCCAGTGATAGAATGAGGCTTATCATCTGTGTGGGTGATGTTTTATTATGTTATTTTATTAATATGTGAAGAAGAGGCTATAAAAATGGTGCAATGTTCCTACTTAATACACAGATATTTTAAGCCTGAAGTTAGTAATTATGAATAAAATTAAAACCCATTGCACATTAGTTATAGAAAATAATATACAAACTTAATTATATCTTCTAGGTAGCAGTTAATTCTATTCCATACTATTCATCATTAGAGAAATTAAGTATTTGACAAAGAGGTTAATTTGAAAAAGAAAGATAGATAGTAGAATTAGAGACCTTCAGAGCTGGGTGGAGTATCTTATAGGTACTATAGTTGTTTTATGAATAGGGGAATCCGGGTGGGGAGAGCTTGGGGAAGTGACGCAGTGAGGCAGTGGAAAACCTTCTCAGAGAAACCAGTGTCTCCTTATGTCCAGGCTGGTGAACTCCTCCAGAATTGTTGTTCAACCGATCAATTATCTTGGGCAGACTCTGGATGCTTGAGCAAATAGGCCTCAATAGTAACAATCAAGAGACTGCAAAGCATACTCACAAACTCACAAACTCACAAGTCCTTCATAATAGAGTCAGAAAAAAAGTACTTTCAGGGCGCCTGGGTGGCTCAGTAGCTTAAGCGTGTCTCTCTCTCTCTGTCTCTCTCTCTCTTTTTTTTTTTTTTACTTAGGACTGTTGTATTTAAATTTTGGCATCAGTCATTAGATCAAGCATATTAGAAAAATCATGATCTGTGATTTTGTTTTTAATTATCTTAAGCCTTATCACATAATTTACAAATTTGTACTGATGATATATCTCCTCTACTTTAACCCTTCTAACGAGTTAGCAAAAGCACCATTACCAATCATACATATGGTAATTCCACAGTTGTATTTTTGAATAGCTGTTTAGAAGACAATCCTGAATTATAACTTAGTAAAGAAAAGAATTCACAAGCCAAATCTGTTGCTATAACTTATCACATTGAATTTTAAAAGCATCTGACCTTACAGATCATCTATAAAATGTGAGACATGTTAATATTCTTTATTTAATATTATACATAAACCACACTAAAATGCCTTTCATTAAGCAAAAGGCAACATTTTAGATGTGGGGAATTTTAATTAACTTTAAGACTGAAAAGATAAAGTGGACATTGCCAGCTTATCTTCAGCCCTTGCCTTTAACAGGCTAACAAACACAACTTGAAACACAGCTGAGTCTTGCTGTTCTGATACAGTGAAGGGATTTCCTCAGTATTTAAATATATTAATATAACCAGTTATCTAAATCTAAATATAAAACCGATCTCCTGTAAGTTTAGAGATGGCATTTACCATCTCTGTGAAAAGCTCAACATCTAATCAACTCCAATCATATTTTTCAAAGGGGAAAACAGTGACGGCACTTGCGGAACCAGAATTACTATCAAAGGTCAAAAAGCAAATCATACTCATTTAACCACAGGCCAATCTTATTTAAATCAGGACTGTCCAAAAGAAATATTCTCTCAGCCATTCATGATCTGAATTCTGGTGTCTGAGATCAATTTAGATATGGTACACATAAAAAAAGTTATGAGACATTTTTGTTTTGTAATAAATAAGGCAACGGCCAACTATTGCTCCTTAGTAGCTTTTTTGAGATAAGCTATCAAGCGTGCTCTTTCCCCTGCCTTCTAATGCCAGCGAAGATCATTTTTGTTCCAGGGATGTACTTCTGGGGATTCTCCAAATACTCCATCAGTGTCTCCTCTCCCCAGGTGGTGCCATTGTTCTTGTTGGCATCTGTGTAAGAAAATCCAGGGGCCTGACCTGTCTTTCGCCCAAATAAACCATGGAGATTTGGCCCAGTCTTACGCTTGCCTCCCTTTCCCACAGTATGGCACTGGGCACACTTCTGAACAAAAATCTCCTTGCCCTTCTCAACATCACCCATTTTTAAATCGCTCTTCGGTTGCACGTGAAGCGAAGGTGCCTGCTCCCAAGCCGGACGTCCAGCTCTTTCAAGCGCCTGACTCTTGATTTTGGCTCAGGTTACGATCTCACAGTTCATGGGATGGAGCCCCACTTGCAGTGACAGCGTAGGGCCTGCTTGAGATTTTCTCTCTCCTTTGCTTTCTGCCCCTCCCCCACTCCTGCTTGCTCTGTCTCACAATAATAAACATTAAAAAAAGAAAAAAATTTTCATCAGTGTTTCAGTTTACATGTCCTCTGGCACTACACAAATATATTTAGGGAACCAAGAGGAGTTTCCTATGCAACACTCACAGTAATGCCTGTTAATCCCATGAATTAATGGTGAAAGGATCGCTGACTTCAGGACGGCTTGGCAATAAGCACCATTAAGCACCCAGACTCTTTGTAGTTTTGCAAACCAGCCTGGAGTAAAAATAAGGTTCTCTCCAGTTGATGACCTTTCCGTGAATAAACAGAATCTCTGACAGTGAGCCACGGCACATGGTTCTCGAGACACATGGGCCACTTGTTTTTGAAATAGAGTGACATGCTGAAAGCCTCAGGGAAAAATAGCACTTAAAACATAAAAACATAGCAATTCCTATTGAGCAATCCATCCCTATTCTCGTACGGGAGCTGGAACCATATGTGTTAATGGCCTGCAACGTGCGCCTGGAGTCATGATAGATGAATATTGAATACAAGTACCTCTGAAAGAAATTAAAGATGAAAATACCAATCCAATCCTTGTCCGCCCAAGAAAGGCAACCCTTAAGCCCCCAATGACTTTTTTCTCTTTCCCATAAACACTTCTGAAAAATAGCAACTCTTTATTGAATAGCATTCACTGTGTACCAGGCACTGTGCCTTAAGTGACTTTTGCAAGAACCCTGTGAGAAAGCCCTTATTCCCTCCATTTTGCAGATGGGGGCTTGGAGAGGTTAAATAATCTGCTACAACATTATGGAGCTGACATATAGACCCAGGTTGTGGAAAAACAAAGTCACTAAACAAAAGTAGCCTACATGCTATTATTACCCTTTTGAAATCATCAATCTTAACTGAGTTAGTGAGTATTTTCCCTGATATTAGATCACCAGCCTGGTTGGTGGCAGAAGAATTGATGGGCCCTAGAAACCTGATATTAATTCCAAACCCCTTCCTGAGATGAAAAATATTGAGAATCAGACAGCGACCTTTATTTAGCCATTTGAATGAATGTACTGTTATTTTATAATAAAATGTTTATGTGCTTTTTTATATCAGAAATGTGCTTAATTATTTGGTGGTTTTCTGACTCTGGGATGACATAGTGGCTCTTCAGCTGGTTAAGACTGATTATCTCTGGTTTATAACACCAGAGCTTAATTAATTTACATATTCCTTACGGGATTTGGAGAAGAAAATTCTTAAAAGTTAATGGGCTAGTTTTATATTTAGTCAATATATCTTTAGCACAACTCTGGGCAACAACATTTTATGTTATACAGCTTAGCGCAATAATGGTAGTGAAAGAGACGTTGATGGCTTTAACCAAGGTTTACATTCTAGCTCAAAGCTCTTTCTATTTCTTTTTTTTTAAAATTTTTTAACATTTATTTTTGAGAGAGAGTGTGCATGAGTGAGTGTAAGTGGGGCAGGGGCAAGCCAGGGAGACACAGCATCTGAAGCAGGCTCCAGACTCTGAGCTGCCAGCAGAGTCTGATGCGGGGCTCGAACCCACGAACTGCGAGATCATGACCTGAGCTGAAGTCAGACACTTAACTGACTGAGCCACCCAGGTGCCCCTCTTTCCATTTCTTTATGAGCCTGACCTTCACGAATGGAAGGAGTTTGGAGGCACTGACAAAGGAGAGGTGGAAGGTAGAGACTGGCAAAATAGGTGATTAGAATCTGACTGAAAAGTGGGGCTGTGGTCATTGTCCTGAGTTTCAAATGCCTGCTTTGCCACTTTTTGTAAAGCTATTTAACCTCAAACAACGAGCGCCGTCTATACCACAGCTTCCATACCTGTGAAGTGGGGAATCGCAATACCTACTTATAAGGTTGTTGCAAAGACTAAATGTGCCCAAAGCAGGAGCTCGGTCAATGGTGGCAACTATTGAGAGATGCTGATGTACAAGATTTAGAAACTGGCTTCTCCAAAGTGAGGGCCTGCCCTGGCCTGCCACAGCTCTCTGAAGGTCGGAAGAGGCTGGCCAAGAGCCCATGATTGTTCTTAGGGTGCTCCCCTGTCCCCCTCTTCCCTGAGTTCATCGCTTGGGCTGCACTTACCAGGGTCACAAAGAAATATGATGTGACTTGTAAATCCCATGATTCAGGCACAGGTCTTTCCATTTTTCACATCAACTTGTATTACACTGGGCACACAGTGGCTGCGTCATAAATATGTATTGATCTTATTTAACTATAATGTGCAAAGTAGAACTTCTCTTCCCTGACTATGGGTTGGGGATGGTTACAGATAGGTGAGTTCTGCGTAGTAGAGACTATAGCATATGGAAAGAGAACAAGGAATCAGTCTTCCCAAGAGCAAGCATGAGAAATAAGATATTCTTACAAACCTCATGCTGTTTTACCAAGAAAAAAGTGAACCCAGTAAACATCTTATTAATTCAACTAACACTAGTTTGAAACCTGTGGAGATTGGTGTGAGTTGAACTGTATTGTAATTTGGTGACATTTAAGTCTCTCCCAGAGAACCAAGCATTTACCTGCATTTTTGAAGCAATTAATTTTCATATTAAAAATGGCTAATTGAACATCATTTTTACTTCTCTCTCTCTACTTAGCAACACTCAACTAAGCTAACTTGTGTTAGTGGATGGAGAAAGTTATAAACTTCTATAGCTAGATTCTTGAAAATCCTGAGTTTTATGTTCACATAGCTTGCAATTTCTCTGTCAAAAATGCACAGAACCTAAAATATATGTGTTTTTAACATGCTGATGGGTAAAAACAAAGCTACATACACCTGCAAGGTAAAGACAACTGATTAGGTAGAGGCCAGGAGATTTTTGAGCCTTTGTAAAGATTCTTTTGATAAACTTAATCGGAAACGCATTTTTTTCTGATCAGCTGTAGTGATAGGTTTGTAGATAAACCGTAATGCAGATGCTTATTCGTACTTTAATAAAACCTCTTGGTATGTTATGATTGTCTTCTTGAGAATAGATTTCCTTACTATGAAATAGTGAGCACTTCCTGTTTTAGGTCAAATTGTAACTTCCTTGAAACAATCTATTAGAAACATTTTGGTTCTTCTAGGCAGAGGAAAAGAATGAATAATTAAACACACAGATATAGAAGGCAACTGGGAAAACAAAGGAAAAGAGTAAATAAGGAAGAACACTAGGGTCCCCTGTTTCTGAAATATAAGAAAATGACATTCTAGATTTGAGTGTGGTTTTGACTGAGCTCAATCAAAGATTGAGCATATTCTACTTAGCACGTAATCATTAGTTTTGGCTCTGCTGATCTCATTGCCACACACAGGCCTGAGGGTTTACTGAAAGAAAGGGATTTCCAGGAAAGGTGACCTCACCACCGAAGCAAAGAGGCCAAGAAAGACTTCAGGGCTGGGAAGCTAAGTTCATTACGCGAGTTCCTGTAGATATCCTTATTATTTTGTAAACAAGGCCAGACTTGAGGCGGACTGGAAGCAATGAACAGAGGTCAAATGAGCTGCGAGGCTGGTTGAGTCCTGTTCACTGCAAGGACAAAGCAGTTCCCTTCTCAAGTTCTCGATTTCCTTTTGACACAACATGGCAGTTGGACTTAACGGATGTCTAAGTTTCCCCTCTCAGTGCTACAGTTCTGGGTGACTAGAGCGAATAGTGACCCCATCTTTGCAGGACCAGAACTCAGCCCTGCACCGTGGCCTGCTAAGGCAGGCTCTTTTGCTGTTAACCCTGTGTCTGAGAAGAGAGGGTATATAAGTAGGGAAGTTATATAATAATGAGCAAAATTGCAGATCAGATCTCATTCCTCTTAAGTACTTTGAAGGATTTCTCTTTTATCTTCTTGCATAATTGCATCCGTTAAAAAATAAATTTCTTTATTTTTAATAAAAACAGTAATCATCCATTGAGTGATTCCTATGAACCAGACCAGATGCTATGGATTTTACATGTACCATCCCAGTCGGTTCCCCAGATAAACCTCTCCTTTAGGGAGAGGCCAGCATTTTTGCCAGTTTTACATAACAGATAAAATTGGGGGCCTCAAGATAGAGAGGAATCAACCTGAGGTCTCTGAACCAGTAATGACGGAACTCGGTTCAAGCCCAGTTTGTTCACAGAGCCTGGGCTAGCAAGGGCTTCTTGATGCTGTCTTTCAATGTCTCATGATCCAACAGGGCACACGTTAAATAAATATAGGTGCGGTCACCTGATGCGATTTCACCCCCGGGCAAGTAGGAAGATGATGTGTGCAACAAAGAAAATGCTTTTGTTAAGTGCAAGAGTGATGGAAAATGATACCTCTGCTCCAATAGGCCTTCTAGAAAAGTGACGCACACACACAGGCAAATGGAAATGTTTCAATTCACTGGGTGGCAGGATTATGGGTGATAACTTTTTTTTTTTTCCTCTTCTCGTTGGTATCCCATTTATGTTGCCTTTGTAATAAGACACAAAGCAAACAATAATTTAAAAACCCCAAAGAAATGGATTTCCTGATCAACGCACTTCTTGTAAGAATTTGGTTTCCGGTGGGAAAGAGCAGAGTAGTTCGCAGTTGCCTGTAACAGATGCCGTGGTGGCTGTGTGTCACAGACGAGCTAATTCATGCTTCTCAACAAGCCCCATGTGCCATGCTTTGTATGTATAAGAAAGGGGGATGTGGTGTTTGGATTACTCGGCCTCGGTTACTCCTTGTGTGAGCAGTATGGATATTTTTGACTGTCCTTTTGATTCTAGTTGAAGCTGCTTGCCACCGGCATCTCTTAGCAGATTGCTTTGTGATTTATGCGGGTCTAAAGGAGACCAAGGATCATTTATCTTCAAACCAGGAAGGAGATGAAAGCAGCTTGGTAGTAAAATTTCCTGTGGAGTTAGATGAGAGCATCAAAGGGAAAAAAATGTCATTGTTTCATGAAA